CTCTGCCTTGGGACCCCCAGCCCCCTGCTCAAATCCCCATCTTGGCCCCCACCAGGGCTTTGAGATCACCTCCACCAGCTCCTGCCTGCACTTCGTGTCTGCAAACACCTCAGAGGTGAGTGAGGGGCTGCCCTCCTGTCACCCCCTGCCCCTCAGTCATCCCTTTTATGCCCTGTGGGGAACAGCCCCATCCATGGGGGCCCAATCTGCCCTCCCCTGACCCGGAGCAGGGCCTGTGGCTGAGCCCGTGTAACTCATCTCATGAGTGAGCACAGCCTGGGCATGGGGAGCCCCCTCTGCACCCCGATCCCACTGCTGGGCAAAGTCGGGTTAATGGTTAATTAACCTGAACCCCCTGGTTCTTCCTGAGGGAGAGGTCCTGAGTGGGGTTAGCTTGGGAGGAAGGGAGGGAGAGGACCCAGGACTGGGCACCCCACTGTCACCCACCTCTACCCAGGCCCTGGCTGCCCACAGGGGCCACGTCCTGCCCGGAGATGAGATCGTGCAGGTCAACGAGCAGGTCGTGGTGAGTCAGGGGCACAGGGGCTCGAGGCTGCTGCTGCATTTGGACAGAGCTGCAGGGCTGGGAGGGCTCGGGGAGTACTGGGGCTGAGGTGGGGGGATGCAGGAGTTACGAGCAGCAAAAAGCAGGAGCTGTAGTTGGGAAAGGTCTGGGGGACACAGGAGCCATTGCCAGGAGGATTTGGGGGATGTGGGATCTGTGGTTGGGGCAGGTTTGGGGGATGAAGCGTGCGTGGGGCTGGGGCAGTGGCCCACAGCTCACCCAGGATTTGCAGGTGGGTTGGACACCTGTCAACCTGGCGAGGAAGCTGCTGGAGAAGGGGAACAGGGTGACTTTGGTGCTGAAAAAGATCCCCCTTGACCTGCCTGGCTCACCCCCCTCTCCCAGGCAGCAGGTGAGTGATCCCAGTGCTCCCAGTCCAGCACCAGTGCCGCACTGGGCTGTGCTGGGAACCAGGCAGAGATGCTCAGAGCTGGGCATCTCCCATCACACTGGAGATTCCTAAAGCTCTGGGGTCCATGGTGGGATGGGGCTGGCACTGACACTCCATCCACAGCCCCCAGGGGCATTTTTGGATGCTGCAGATTCCCCTGGCACCAGGAGCAGCGAGAGCCCAGGCAGCCCCGTGTCTTTGACCTCCAGGTGAGCCCCATCCCGACACCCCGACACCCCCAGTCTGGCCAGCAAGGAGATGTTTGGGTACATCCATCCTTCCCAGCCCTTTTCTAGGGGGAGAGGTGCCAGCAGTGCAGCAGCTGCCTTGAACAGTCTTAAGGAATGAAAACCAGGGGGGGTTAGTAATTCATTCACTTGGTAACGTTTTAGTGGGTTGGAACTATATTTAGGCATGACCCTTCTCCCATCCCGGAATGGAAAGGCGTGCGGAGAGCCAGCGGCAGCACCGAGCAAGGGAGGCCGGTGGAACTGAGCTGGAGCTCTGGCACCACGTCCCCTCCAGCCCCATTCCCGGGGCAGGGAGCGCAGTGGGTGCCCCAGCCCGAGGTTGATCAGGGACCCTGGCAGTGCTCGGGGAAGTTTGGGGCTCAGGGGTCCCGTTTTCCTCCCAGCGTTGCGGCCGACTTGGACTCGGGACCAGACTCTGCCCTGGATCCTGTCACTGACGAGGAGCAGGAAGAGGACGAGCGGGATCTGAGGCTGCCTGGGGCAGCTGTGGAGGAGCTGCCGGGACTTTCTGGACAGGGTAGGATGGGAGCAGAGGGTGTCTGGGGACAGAGCAGTTCCCCCCAGAACTGCAGCCCTGCTCTCTGTTCACAGGTGCTGCAGAGGAGGTGTGGGACAGTGGCAGCACCCTGGGAACCCCCCTGGACACCCCCCCAAGCATCCCTGCTGCCACTGAACCCTGTGCCACAGAGCTGAGCCCCAGGGCAGCCCCCAGCACGGGGGCTGGGGGAGCAGAGCCCAGCCAGCTCCCTGGGGAGGTGAGAGCTGGGGGGGACACGCTGGGGGGGTGTCAGAGGTTCCCCTCTGAACCCCTGCACCGTGTGGGTGAACTGGGGGGTCCCTACGGGGGTCCCTAAGGGCTGCCCTGCCCTCACCCCCTGCACTGTCACTAAGATCCCATCTCTGTTTCCCCTCCCAGGGCAGCCCCCGCACAAGACCAAAAGGTGAGCAGAGCCCTGGCAGGGCTGGGGGCTGTCCTGGGGGGCTCTGCCTCCCCTTCCCTCCCCTGACACCCCCAAGGCTGTGGCGCAGGAGTGGCGACCAGGCTGAGCCGCCGCCGGATCTCGTGCCGGGACCTGGGCCGGGTGGACTGTGATGGGTGGCTCCTCAAGAAGAAGGACCACGTGGGCTTCATGGCCCAGAAGTGGAAGCGGTGCTGGTTTGTGCTCAAGGGCCACACACTCTACTGGTACAACCACCCCAACGTGAGTGGGAGCACTGGGTATCCCTGTCCCCAACCTGGGCAGCCGGGATTTCCTGGGGTGGTGCTGGACACAGCAGTCCCTGACCCCGCAGGATGAGAGGGCTGCAGGACTCATCAACGTGGCCACCTACAACCTGGAGAGCACCAGGGAGCAGAAGAAGAAATAGTGAGTGGGGTCTGTCTCACTTTCACCCCCAGCTGGTGGTGGGAGAGGGGGGGATGGTGTCCCAAGGCCACATGCTGATGAGTGATGAGAACCCATGGGGCTGATGAGATCCCCACAGGACTGGTACCTTGCTGTGCCCACACTCTGAGCAAGGCCAGCACTGTTCCTGGTGTTATCTGGGATGAGGCTGATCCGGAGCTGGGTTGGGATGGGGGGCTGTAGTGCTGGGGAGCCTGGAGGGGGCTCGGGGCTGGCTCTGTGTCACCACAGCAGCCACCCCCTTGTCCTCAGTGTGTTCCAGCTGTGCCACCAGACATACAAGCCCTTTGTGTTTGCTGCTGAAACCTTGGCTGACCTGAGCATGTGAGTAAGGGAGCCAATGATCAGCACTGGCCCCACCAGCCTGGGCTGGCCAGGACCCTCCTCCCCCTGCTCTGTCCATCCTTTCCCTCCCCAGGTGGGTCAGTCGCCTGGTAACAGCCAAAACAAAGTACACACTGGCCCACCAGGCAGTCCCAGACAAGGAGGAAGGTAATGGGGCCATGCTGGGGTGGGGGCTGGGGTCGGTGGGAGGGGGTCCCCATGGGGTAGTGGTGCCTGGTGCCACAGCCCTGGTGTGGGACCGCTGGGAGCTTGGCCCATGATTTGGGGGAACGCGACAAACGCTCCCTGAGGGGTGGCTGGGATGATTCTCAGCCCTGGGAGGGAATTTCTGTCTTCTCCCATGGCCTCCAGACTGCTACAGTGAGACAGAAGCTGAGGATCCTGATGATGAGTCCCCCAGGCACGGATCCGACTCGGTGAGTGACCCTGGGGGACACCCTGGGGACAGAGGGACAGAGTTCCTTGTCTCACCTCCTTCCCCATCTCTCCCTCAGCCAAGGAAGAGGCTGCAGAACACCCCAGAGAAGGCGCAGCTCTCCCCAGCCAGCAGCACAGCCAGCAGCCCCCAGGGCAGCCCCCGGCCCTGCTCCCCCATGGGTAGGTGCTGGGGGGGGACACCCTGTCACCTTGTGTCCCTTTTGCCTGTGGTGTGCTGGGGGTAGCTTGAGTTGTGTGTTGGAGCAGGATGAAGGGAGCCTACAGGAAAGATGGAGAGGGATGTTTTTATGAGGGCACAGAGTGACAGGGCAAGGGGGAATGGATTTAAACTAAAAACAGAAGGTTTAGAGTGGACATTAGAAGAATAGTCTTCCCTGTGTAAGTGGTGAGGCCCAGCACAGGGTGCCCAGAGGAGCTGTGGCTGCCCCTGGATCCCTGGAAGTGTCCAAGGGCAGGCTGGATGGAGCTTGGAGCAGCCTGGGATAGTGGAAGGTGTCCCTGCCATGGCATGACGATCTTTAAGGTCCCTTCCAACCCCAGCCACACCTTCAAGGCAGGATCATGCACAGGGGAGCCCTGCAGGGTCTTTGGGCTGCCCTCCTGCTCCAGTGCCCCTTCTCCTTGTCCAGAGCCCGCTGGGGAGGATCTGGAGAGCCTGATGCGGTGCCTGAGGCAGGGCGGGCTGTCCCTCATGGGGCAGCAGCGCTTCCTGACGCAGGAGCAGTGCCGAAAGTCCTTCCTGAGGCGCAACAAGAACCCGCACATCAACGAGAGGGTGCACGCCGTGCGGGCCCTGCAGAGCACGCTCAAGGTGGGACCCCGCAGCCCCCCGAACCCCCCAATGCTCCCCTGCCCACGGGTGTCCCCCCAAAACGTGCATTGCTCCGGGCAGGCGAAGCTGGCGGAGCTGCAGGCCCTGGAGCAGCTGCTGGGAGAGGCCGCGCTCACCTCGGACACATTCAGGCGCTGGAAGGAGGAGCACCAGGAGCTGTACCGGGAGCTGCGGGAGGGCTGGGCAGGGCACCAAGGTCAGGGCCACGACCAGGGGGATGCTGGAGACCAGCAGAGACCCCACGAAGAGGCAGCTGAGCCCTGACATCCCGCCAGGACCTGGTGTGGGTCAGTGCCCACAAGACTCGGAGCATGGGAGAACGGCGGGTGCTCTGTGCTGGGGGGCCTGAGCACATTCTGGAAGGCTCAGCCCTCACAGGGGCCATCCCACAGGGGAAGTGGCCTCTGTGGAAGTCTTAATTTTTCCCAGCTCGCCTTGACTTGGCTGCAGGTTGGAAAGGGGTGGATTTTCCTGGGGAACGTGCCCCCGCTGTGGTGCTGCCAGCCGGCCCGGACACGGGCTCTTCTGCTGTAAATAAATGTGGTGACAGGGCCTGGTCGTGCCGTGTTTTTTTCTTGGCGCTGAAATCGTCAAATCATAGAATTGTTTAGGCTGGAAGAGATCTCCAAGATCATCGAGTCCAGCTGTAAACGCGGTACTGCCGCGTTCACCACTAAACCGCATCCCTCAGTGCCACATGCACATGTTTACGAACACTCCCAGGGATGGTGACTCAACCACTGCCCCGGGCAGCCTGTGCCAGTGCTTGACCACCTTTTCCGTGAAGAAATTCCTCCTGCCGTCCAGCCTCATCCTCCCCTGGTGCAACTCGAGGCCGTTTACTCTTGTCCTGTTGTTCCGCCTGCCGGGGCTTTGCAGAGATCCAGCCGGTCTCCCCGAACCCCATTTTATCCAGGCTGGGCCCCGCCGGCTCCCTCAGCGCCCGCCCTACGGGTGCCGCCCGCGGCCAATTTTCCTCCGTCAGAGCCCGCCGCTCCCTGCACGGCTTGATGGGGGTGGGGACAGCGCTCATTAGAGCCAATGAGCCATGGGTGGGGGCGTGGCCTGCGCGTTCTATTGGCTGATATGCTGATTAGCCACGCCCCCTCCTCA